GGGGCAAGGGGTTTGTGCCACTCCTCTTCTGTCAACCCTTTCAGTATAATCACACTGAGATAGTTCCTAACAAGGTAACAATTAGATCTGCATCAACTAGCTACATCCATAAGAGTTTGAATTGAACTACTTACCAAGCTGATATTAGAGTCAAAGCTCATCTGTATATACTTCCAGTCAAACTCAACTCCCCTGGCTCCCACCCATAGAGGGAGGCACCTGCAAAGGTCAACATCTATTCTCTTAACACAAAATAGGTGTTAAAATTATCACAAGCCATATATATATATAAGCTGAAATAATCTATTACTCTATCTGTTTCTAATGTAAGTGAGTTACGTTGTGTGCCTCACCCAGCAGTTGGGAATGTTAGAAATCATAATCACAAAACATACAGAAAATTTTTTTTTACTAAATTATGCCATCATAGCTGGACTGGCCTTAGATCGCATTCACAACGAGTTGAGCCATAGCTTTACAAATCCTGGAACTAAATATGGCAGACGTAACTGAAAGAAAAACCGCCTAATCTTTTAATAGTCTCTCCGCCTCTCACACGCCTTCCCATGTGTCGTCCCAATGGAGCCAATATTTAATGACTGTACCCCCGCAGGGACGACGCATGGGAAGGCGTGTGAGAGGCTGAGAGACTATTATAAGATTAGGCGTTTTTCTTTCATGTACGTCTGCCCTATTTATTTCCAGGATTTGTAAAGCCATGGCTCAACTCGTTGTGAATGCAGTCTTAGACTAAAAAATGGCTCATACCTTGTGACAATAAGTTCTGCAGTAGCCCACCCCATGCTGGCTATCATAAACTTGAGCTGCCCCTTGCCTGCCACTCTGGTCATCACTAAGTGGATTCCAACTAAGTCTGCTAAGTCTATGGTAGACTTCAAGAACTCCTGAAATATATTGTAGATCTATTGTTTCAAACTTTCCTGGCTCAAATGGGCTAAAATGGCTCACAAAATTCAGGAAATAAGTTATTAAAACCAGACAAGCTAAGAAACAAGGGTCTAAATCCATTGCATACCTGACGAAAAATACTATTTCATAAACTTAGCGTACTGCCTTGACAATAAAATAAGTTATAAAAAAAGCTCACCCCTACAACGTCAAATCCTACAGCAGCACCAGAAAGTTCCGTGGCAGGAAAAAATGTTGCCAGTACCAGCATTTTACATAACTGCGTTATCATGTAGGCCACTCCCGCTTGCACACATTTCCAAAAAGCACTGTATTCCGCTCTTGAGAGAGAGAAAAAAAAAGATGAACAAATTATAGTAACCTCGTCAAGATACAGTGTGAGATCTTCATCTTACTTTTATTCGTGTCTTTTTAAAAGAAACAAGCCAATTGTAAAAAGTAACCATATCTCAATAATATGTGAACCTACTTTTAGCACGTTACAGCCAATTTATAGCCAACTGCAAAATTACATCGCCACATTCAATTGACTTGGTTAGGTAGATCACAATCCGCTAGGGGCGCTACAGTCGTAACTGTCCACGGGCAGTGAAGTGTTAAACTGAAGTCGGCCTGCTGACAGTTCGCCTATGGAACCCCTTTTTTAAATCTCTCTTTTAGCGCTGCGTAAAAAAACTAATACAAGCCATTAACTAAATAAGTTGTAAATCAAAGAGTAAAATCCGGTCACATGATTTTCCCATGTTGCAGTCTTTGACAAGTTTCGGTTCTGCTTGTTTTAAGTTTTGCCTCTACAAAATGCTAAAAAATTTCAGGTAAGTGCTGGTATCATCTTTTTGAAATTTATATCCAGCAAAGTTTATGAAATTTGCTATATTATGTAGAAAAATCATGAAATTTGAAGGTTGCGAAGTATAGTTAATTTAATCCGCAATATTACATGATGTGAAAATTACCACAGGGAAATAGCTCTGCCCTGATTAGTCACAGGCTATGTGAGCCAGACAATAGGCTGAGCACACAAAGACACACAGGGTGCTCTGCTGCGCCTGAGTGATCACTGCTGGTCAGTGGGCACAGGTTTTGAGCTGAGAAGTGTGGACACTTTTGGTGGATTTTTGCAGTTAAAAAACTTCAATATCTTTGTTGCTTGTAGGAATATTTAAAAAATTCCAAATGATTTCATCCGGTTTTTGCATTACCTTTCAGATGATATAAGTATTTTAATTTTCTGATCAGTTTGAAAATTTTTCTGATATACCTAACTTGGTGTAAATTTCATTAGGCAAAGTAAATGTGTCCAAATTTTAATGAGTAAGTAAGTGAGATAACTACCCATAAATTGGTTACTTACAATCCGGAGCACTTGTACGTTATCATATACGGCACATACGATAAAGCGAGGCAATTAAGAAAATGAAATAGTGTCATTTTGCGGAAGAAAATGGAAATATCGACATGCGACTCCGGCAAGGTCAAGGTTACTAATAACACCGCAGCGATTTTTAACAATTATTCCTAGGGTTTTAGTGCCACTAATTATCATAAAAATTACATGTTTTGACTTTTTCAGTTGTTCTAATTATATTATATTATATTTTGGTAGACTAATTTATTAATATATGTGTTTAGTTTCATTTACCGCGTAGCAGTCTCGAAATTTCTCCAGATGTGCGAGACTTTCCTCCCTGGAAACTATTGTTTGTTTACAGCTGATGCTTTAACACGCGGGGGTTGGTTTATAAACAACTGAGCCTCCAGTATCTCCCGATAAAAAAGTAAATTTTAGGTGACAGCTATGGCGCTGCATTTTAGCGGTAATCAGGTATGTATAACAAGACAATAATAAGATATTTGAAAAATGCTGAACTACGAAATGATTTATATTTGCTATTTTACGCTACAAAATTATTTGCCGGCTGCCCATGCCAGTTTATACTGATAGGCATATCATCGTGTAAATTGTGCCGGATATTTTCAAACTTTGTACAAGTCGGGAAGGGATATCTCAAATTTTATTTAACAGTCATAAAAATTTGTCTGACAAAAACATGAATAAAGCATTTGTCACATGCTTGTCTTTATTTGATAACTCGTATTGTTTTTGTTATTTTACACACTACATAGCTGAAGTTCTTAAGCAATAGAGTCTGTATGTATATCATTTCTATACTTTAGTATGAACAGGCCTTTGATCCCAAAAGGCTACAGAACTGGGAAGTAGCAAAGCGACACAGACAGGTAGGTATATCTTGTACCAGTATCATCTATTTCTTTATTAAGACCCCCCACATACACACAAAATAATGAATAAATAAATAAATAAATAAATAAATAAATAAATACTTTAACACCTTGGTGATTTTCATAATGCTATCTACACAAGTGGCCATGCAGAATTTTCATAAGTTCTTGTATTAAAAATTTTACATCACATGACACGAAGAAGACAGTGTTCAAGTCCCCCAGGTTGTATGAATTAATTTCATTTTATTATTATTATTATTTTTTATCAACAGAGACCCAAGTCTTTGGATGGTTTCACTCAGATCATTGCCACAGACAGAGGGCACCTGTTCCCTGGAGTGAGGAGGAGTGGAGAATCACCCTGGGGGACATTTGTTGGGACATGGGACATGCCACTTAAAATACCAGGTAAGACAGCTCTCCTGTGTTGCCTTTATTGTAGTCATATTCAGGGTGAATCCAGGATTTTATTGAAAGAGAGAGAAATCGAGAGAGAGGAGGGGGGTGTTACATGCTAGCTAAGAGAAATGTTATGTTGGGGGTGGGGGGGCATACTTTGAGGCTAATTGGTGCTTTTAATCGTAAATTTAGTTTTAAACAGTAGCGGTTGCCTTGTATCTTATCTCTGTGGTATATTTACTGCGTCATTTACAGCACATAGTACTGCTCAATGCTTAAGCAATTTTAAAGTTCAAGCTTTTAATTCTGATATTAGAATTATATGATAAATTACCTATATTTTCGTTCGGATACCTTATGAACTGACCTTGGAGGTGTGTACTTACTTATTTTTAATTTATGATACTTCTGTATTGAGAGACTGGTCAGTCATCTGTGTCATCCTTGTTTTCAGGCAATAAGATGACCAACCCCACTGCCAGGTCCACCTACGCCCAAGAGAAGCTGCACAAATTAAAAGGTGAAGGGGATTTGGTCATCAAGGGCACACTCAAGGCTCCACCCAAAATTCCCACTCCTCCAGGCCCTCTCAGGGTATGTACTTCAAAATACAATATATATATACACACACACACATATGGTCAAGTTTAATCTGGAAATTTACTGTGGAAATTGTGTAATGAAAAATAAAGTGAAATAAGACAATTTAAAATGACTAATAAATCATGTTTTCCTTTTCTAGTTAATGTAAAGATTGAAAATGCGTAAGAAATTCTTATTGGCCCACCCTCTGAAATATGAATATTAATTCTTATTACTGTGAATTAAGATAATAAATAGTAAAATATTGATTGATAATATCACCAATTACTTTACTTAAATACGTCTTTTCCAGCATGAGGACATAGTTGTATCAGGCAAAGAGAAAGTACCTGACGATAAGCCCACACATCTAGAGGACAGCGCAGAGAATGATATTGCACGCAGTGGTGCCAAAGGTCCTACGCCCCCCGCCATCATGACCCGCACCACCCCTGTCCGTGTCACACCACCCGCTCCTAAAGACATTCCCCCAGAGCCAAAACTGGCCACCCCTGTCATGGCAAAAATTCCCACACCTGTTGCCAGAGAAATGCTACGATCTCCAAAGATGAAGACCCCTGAAAGAAAAACCCCAGTGAAAACTCCAGATTGGGATGCACAACAACCAAAAACAGGGGCTCGTCCTGACACTCCACCAAACAAGGTGAATGAGCCCTTAGTGGCTTAAGTGGTGGTTTTCATATGGACTGTTGTAGAGAGAAAAAACTCAATTCATCAATGACTGGGATTATCATTTATTGATCAGTTCATCACTCTTTCATATACAAATACTCTTGTACAGATTCTTCCTTCCTTTGCTTAAAGCTTTTGAAGTAAAACAGTATTATCATGTGAGACTGGCGATAGTAACGTCCAATGAATTTCATCTTGAAATGGTACATTGTACAGTTGTTCTTATTCCTAGCAGTATAGATTTAGGAATTAGTCATTATTAGTTGATTTCTGCTTTTATTTGAAAAATTTGCCTTAATGATTTATTTTTAAATTACTAGATCAACAATTTTTGGTGCTGTGCCATTAAACCAAAAAATATTTAAAAGCAATTTTAAAAATAATGACAATAGTGAAAGATAAAGGCACACACACAAATAGAGGTAAATTTTTCAGATTTTTCTTTGGTGTTGAATTTTACAAAGTAGATGGTCTTTTAATTTATTGAAATTAAATAATTTACTTTAATTATCTACTTATGCCAAATCAACTGTTGTTGATAAAGTTGTTGCCACTGCTGTCTATTCTGCAGATATTTGTGCCAACAATCCAAACGCAAATTTCTAATAAATATTCTATAAAAACAAAAATTTTGTTCATCATATTTTCAGCTGATGTTGGTTATAAAAGCAAGTAGTAAATTTCTCCCTATGTGAAATTATCTCATTGATCAAACTTTTACCAATTCAATCCAATGTTGTCTTTACATTAGCAATTATTTAATAACTATTTAATTAGATGTATGGAAATTTATATTATAATTGTAAAGTTTGGATCAAAATCTTGAATGCCTGGTCTACTTTCCCAATTAGAAAGCTCTCCTAATATTCTTACAGTTATACCTCAAGAACATTGGCCATAATTACTATCTTATTTCACATTTCATTGGCAAGGTAGGTGTTGTACATGTAAGATAACCCCTCACTCACAAAACATGAAAACAGGGGCATGAATTGGAAAAAGATTCTTTATTTTGACACATGTGCCTTAGGCAGGAGTTCAGAAATGAAAAGTCCAATTCTCTGATATTTTGCTCATTTTCCTTGACAATCTGTAAAAACCACCAATCTTTTTCCTACACACCACAAGTAACCTACTGATAAACAACAGTAAGTGGACATGATCCAACGGACTTAATGCAGGTACATGTATTCCACAAATCTTTTACTTTCACCGTTTTCTCTCTAATATAGAATTATTTCCAAAGGTTCAGGCCACTTTTCATCAAAATTACCTCTGCCTCACTTTAACTGGTTACTGATGGTTATGCCATTGTTTCTCCACAACTGATGTTATAGTTTTTGGGTTACCAGCATGTCTGACTTAACAAGTGATTGGCAATTTTGTATACATGGATACATTACAAAGTAGCACCATGGCAGTCACTTTTCAGTCTCTCGCAGGAGGAAAATGTTTTGTTCATTTTTGATCAAAAATAAACAATTTTCCACTGTGATTGCACAACCCTACAACCACTGCCTGAGTTCCCAGAAAATAAATCTGAAACATTCTGGTAGCTACCTTGATTCATATGAACTGAACATCTGTCAGCACTTTGGGTGCCAATGGTAATTATGCAGACATATGGTTGTCATGGCAACTGGTCCATGGTAACTGAGCAGCAACATGGTTTCCATGGTAGTTTGTCCACGGTAACTATGCATGGTATTGGTTGCCAAGGTCACTGTGTGACATCAAGGCAGGAGCCTGTTGTACTCTGAGAGGAACTGAGACTTCTTTATGCTCTCCCATGCCTTGTTAGCATAATGAAACCTGAAAGGAGAGAATAATGCTAAATTACTGTAAAAATACTACTACATATTCAGTATGTAACATTCTAGGGCCACTCTTGCTCAATAATTTCTTGTTTGAGCCAAGTAACTGAATGTTCACTACAACAATAATAAGTATATCTAACAAATATAATTTTTCTTGTTCATTCTAAATCACCCAAGCCTTTCACATAAAACTTAACATTCCACCATGGACCTATATTCAAGATACTGCTCCACTTACAAAATGAGGCAAGTTACATATAAAGAAAATCACCTGACTGATATTTCATAAACTCTTATAAATCACACTGCATAAATTCTACCTACTTCCACAACAAGTATAATACAGTGACAATTTCTTTGATCTCATCAAATATGTCTTACCAATACTTCTCAGATATGGTGACATTGGTGATGAGACTACGTGACATGGAGAGAAGCTGGTTTCTCAGTGTCTTCATGAGAAGTTCAAAACTAGGGTAACCTCTGTACTCTGGCAGGAGGGTCAAGATGTTGCCTGGAATAACAGATGAGATATTCACCTTTACTGTGCTTTAACTTAAAATGTTTCCTTGCTTTGTTATAACTTTCAAATGTAAAATATAAACAAACCCCCTGTGATCTCAGAAATAAATCTAAACCAGTAAGTGTAAAATCATTGCCAATTTGACACCAATTTGACCTAGAGGCCATGTGTACTCCAAACTAAGTGACTCTACTCCAAACATTTCCCGTGACAAGTAGGAGCTAGAGGAACACTTACCTTGTTCTTTGGTACCCTGCATACTTGGTAAGAGGTAGAGGTTAACCTCTGACCTTTGACCCTGGCTGTGACCTGGGAACATGTTGCTACTGGTCATTGATAGAGAACCTAAAATATATTATAGTTAAATAAACAAATTATTTTTGTTCTAACATGATATATTTCTTTGCAATCATTTGAGCTACAATTTGATGTCCATTATGAAATTCTAACCCAGGGAAATATATTTTGCAAAGATATATTGTTATAATCTTTTGCACAAAGTTACTCATATTTATGTCAAACTTGAGAGCATTTCACTTAGCTTGCTTTAATCTATAACCGTTTTATATATAAACTTATATATTTTGTCTGCTTACTTACCCTTACACCTAAGTTTTGAATGTTGCAGAGCTTTGCTGAGGATTTTTTGCATCTCATCGTAGCTATCTAGACCAAAGTCTTGCCTGCTTGCCTTGTTGTTCAGAAAAACTGAAACAGAGCAGAAGTTTAGTTTAATATTCAAACCCTTCAAAAGGTAAAAAAATTGATGCTTAAGGAATACTTATAGCAGAGATATCCAACAGGTTAGATTGACAATGTGAAAAAGCAGACAATTAACCTTTTACACCAAATACTTCTCCACATTCCAATGACTATATGACTTATATATATATATATATATATATATATATATATATATATATATATATATAAATAACTCTTTTTACAAACAACACTGGCAGTTGAAGACAGCTAAACACAATGCCTCATCTAATATTTCCCTACATATTTCTTACTGAGAAGATTGGAAGATAATATGCTCCCACTGTACTTGTGTGTGTGTGTATGTGGTGGGATGTCATAACTAGGAGAAAAACCTACTCACATTATACTCACCTATATGTGGATAATACTCTGGAGTATCATCTGGTGGGATGTCATGACTAGGAGAGGGGGTCGGGGGTTTCAGCATTTCTGCTGTCTGTAACAATCTTAAACAAACAGAAATCCTTCCATGAAAAACAGAAATCAACATATCTTTAAAGTTCACTTCAACAAATGTCACTTATTAAAACCAATTTCAATTTACACCACATTGACCAACCAAACTTGAAAAAGTTAACTGACAAGAACACATATTGCTGGTAATTATGGTGAACCAAACTTTTGCACTGCTACTGCAATGAATGTGGCAGCATTTTGGCTTGAGATTGGAGAAGCTGTGTACCTGAGGAGGTTGGCGTCAGTGAACCAGTCCTGTACCACCAGCACCACATTACACACTGTCATCATGAACGTCATCAGCTGAAGGGACTGGGAAATATTACAATAAAGAATAATATTATAGATCTCCGTGGTTTCTGACCTCATTTTCTCCATCTTCAAAGAGATGTTTTACATTTTTTTTTACATTGAGAAAAGGATAAAAGTGTATAAACTTAACTGTAGTGTAGTCTATATCATAAAATCAACATTAAAATCTACACTAATTCTATATATATTTTAGCCAAAGGCCCTCCCCATGTATTATATTGATATTCATTCTTATATTTTATTGGAAAAAAATCATTTTCCCCAATAGCATACCTGCATCTCTATACAGTTCTCTGTAGTGCTGTACTCTGAGGGATATTTCTTCTCTGTGTGGACCATGTGGTCTAGTATGGAGGCACTCAGGAGAGGCTGGAAATAAATTCATTGTTTTACCATGAATTCTAATCTTAAGTACCTCAACTTGAGATCTAATGCATGCCAGCAAAATAAAGAAAAATCATAATTATTATAGCAGTCAACATGCACTTGATCTTGGTAAAACATTAAACTGTATACAGTAAGGCAATTTAAAAATTGTGTCCTATTTGAGCTTCTTGGAGAAAATCTAAATTCTCTAAATGTAAATAAGGCAAGGAGAACAGTGTATGACCACATTAAACTGTATACAGTAAGTCAATTTAGTGTATATGACCATAATACCTGACAATCTAAGAGAATGGTCCTCTCACTGGTCACATACATGTCCACTCCTGTGGTCTGGTGTCCACACACTTCTCTGACCTCTCTGGACTGTGGCTTGAATATGTATGACCTGGAGAAACAATGGTGTATTACTGACATATTTATATCACCTCAATCAAATGTGATTTTGAATATTCCCCCTTTTTTTGGTATGACAATACAGAGCGATGTCGCCAACATACGTATTTGCAATTTGCTACATGTAGTTTACAATTATAAATTACCACCAGAACATGTATAAAGATACGCCATCAAAGTTTCTTCAATGCCTCTTTTTCTTCTGTTTCTTCTCTCTCTCTCTCTCTCTGTCATACACAAACACACACACTCACAC